AAAAAAATTATAGAATGATCATTTTTTTACAATGGTAAATTTGTCGTGTATTTGTTTATTATTTTTTTAATCAACCAAATAGAGGAATGAACATTTTAATAAAATGATAGTTCCATTCAAACCCATTCTAGAAACCAAACATTACCTTAATGTTTTAATTCATATAACTTTTAATCTATTTTGATCAATAATTCGTCAGTCATATGGATGAAAAAATGATATTATTATATTTTTTGCTGTAACGCCCCAAAAATTATAACGCCATTAAAATACATCAATCAACGCCCATTATCAGAAAAGAGTATTTCACTAATCTTTGTATTACATAGTTCATGAGATTTATATAAAATAATCCTACATGCGAGTAAACATTCAATGATCCCTAATACATGAATCTATAGCATGTAGGATGCTCAATCCAAAAATAAATAATTAAATGCCCTCAAGGGCTTATAGATTCCAAGGCTTAAGCTCGGTTACACAAAAGACGGTTTCTCGAACCCATACACAATTAGCCCTTGGCTTGCAAAAAATACAATCACAACAAAAGATAAAGCTTTGTGCTCTCATAACATACTTCCACGCCCTAGTTCGGTGGGTTCACCACGTCTTTTTCTGTACCAAAATCCCATAGGGGTGAGCATAAAGTCCAGTAGAGAATTCTTAACAAACTATATACATTTATGCAAGATTTCCAATAATGAAATGCACATGCCATGCTACGTCTTTTTTAAAGAGGATTACATTTACATCTCTTGAAAACCACTATGCTCAATGTTAACTTGAAATCTCAATGATTCAGAAAATTACAATTTAATTCAATGGGGGCGGTAAATACGACTCAGGTAATCCCTAGGTTGGTGTCTGCAAGTAGGCATAACTAGCACTACCAAAACCCCACTTTACCGGTTGCTAACCGGAAGGGAAGTGATACCTCCTCTGCGCGTGTTTTTGGTCTTTTACCCCAGACACTCAGGCCAACTTAATCAATTTCATCTACACCTCCTATCCGGACTTACCAACGTATTTACCCCAAAACATTTCAATAAATTCATTTCACAACATTTCTTTCTCAATGTAAATGTTTTCAAATCTCAACTCAAAACTTGTAACAATGCAATTTTAGAACTGCCAATACAATACATGCCAAAGCTAAATAATAATCTTGTAATAATCAATTGAATGAATATGCAATGCCATAATCGTCATCACTACATAACATTTCTCCATCATCAAATTTCTCAACGATGATTCATCATAATCAAACTTTCCACTCATCTTTCAACATTATCTAGCATGATACCAATAATTTCGTTTAAATTCATCAACAATTTCATGTTAAGCTAACGATTTGTTACTTCATAACTTTATCTACAATTTCAACTACAAATTTCCATCTCCCATATTTCACACATTCCATGAAACTTATCATTTGTACACTGGCAAAAGATATTTTCCATTTTATTCTTCCATTGTGACATAACAACAAATTGATTAATTTTTTTGACCCTTAACCCATTTCAAAAAAAATCCATAAATTTGGGTCTTTAGCTAAGATTAGGTATCTCTTCACCTTTGTAAAAGGACACACATACACAAAACATCATTTCTCACACAATGACGGTAAAACCCTCAAAGATTAACTTAGAAAAAATTGAGATTTAAACCCATTTTTGAAAATCCCTATATTCTTGAGCCAAAAGTCAAAACTTTCATAATATCTTCAAGAAAACCTTAAAATCAACATCAACTTTGCCAAAACATGTATATGTAATTCAAAGAAGTCCCCACCTCAATCTTGTTGAAGAGATGGGATGAAACCCTAAAATCAAAGGTGTAGAACTTCGATCTCCATCCAAAAATTGAGAAAGATAATGGGTCAAAACCCAATGGATTGCAAGAAATCAAGGGTTTTTTGTGTTTTGTAAGAGTTTTTAGAGAGAAAGAGGAGCAAAAATGCTTTTAGAGTGAGAAGGGAGTGTTTAAAAGTGATATACACTCAGCCAAAAATAAAGAAAAAAATAGAGTTTTCGGACTCAGCCTGTCCCATACGTGCGACACTTGCCCCCGCAGGTGCGAAGCGTGCTTCCCACACGTGTGGCCCTCATCCCCACATCTGTGGCCCTCCCACTCGACACCACAACCCGCACCTGCATATTATGCAGTGAGCAGCCCAAAATTGCCCTAGTTTCCGCACGTATGGCCTCACCTCCCGCACGTGCGCCCTCTCTCCCGTATGTGCGGCCTAAGGCCCCGCACGTGCGGCCCTGGTCCCCCAGTCCAGAATTTCCTCGACTCATTTCCAGACATTCCGGGCTCGACCATGCACCCTTCGAAACAAATGAAACTCAATCCCAGAATAAACACAGACAAGAATTTTGCGAAAAACCTCTGAATACTACAAGCGCAAAGAAAACAATGTGTAAAGAGACGCACAATGCGACCGGTTATCACATTTACACTAAAAAATATATATTATTTTTTGTTGTTTTTTTTTAATATTATTTGTATTAGTTATGGTCTTTTTAATCTTAATAAATTAAAAACAAACATAATTATACTAAAACGGTAAGACTTACTACATTTTTTTCCAACATCAACATAATTTAGTACCCCAAAAAAAAAAAAAAAACCATTGTGTAATTTCTCCTCGACTCTATTTGAATTATGAATTCAAGTAAAAATTTAAAATTATCCCAATTTATAAGGGGAAATTGCATTTTAGTAGAGTAGTGGGAAAAAAATAGCATTTTCATGGCAATGAAAGTCTCTTGTGTGCATGGTACAAATTCATTCATGTACTTAGTGCAACTTTTCCTGTATATGAAAGTTGCACCCAAAAAAAAAAAAAACCCATTTGTATTGTAATTTGTTTTTCTCAGTACTCCATGTATTTGCAATTTCCCTAATTTGTAATCCAAACACCTTCTCTTTTGCTTTTTTTCGAAAGAAAAAATTGTTGAAAAATCCAATCTAATGAGAATATAAGACATTAGATCCAGTAGATATTTTTTGTTGGAGAGAGATCTACCATTTGTAAAATAGTTTGGTGAGATATCTTTTTGTTAGTTTTGGAGGATATTTTGTTTCCAATTTTACCCCTTAAAGTATATCTGTTGACTTTTTTTTATCTGTTTAATTTTTTTACTATCTATTTAAATTTGTATCTATCTGTTCAAATTATTTTCTATTTGTTCAATTTTTCCCTTTACTTGTTCAAAATTTTTCTATTTGTTGAAATTTACCACCTGATCTGTTTAATTTTTACACTTTTCTTTTTCTTGTCTCTTTTTCTCTTTTCACTCTCTGTTGAATTTAATTTGTTAAAATTTTGCTATATATTGAAATTTATCACTTGATCTGTTGAAATTTTGCTATATGTTGAATTTTATTTGTTAAAAGAGAATGATCTATTGAAATACAACAACTATTTTTTTTTTTGAACTAAGAGATGTGCAAGCCACGATTTGTTGCAATCATCATCATCATCATAAACAACAACAATAACATCTATCTCTTACGCATAATCTTTCTCTCTCTTACTATATCTGTAGGAATAAACAAAACAAAACAAAAAAGATACGAGAGAGAAAAACAACAATAGACTACCACCACAAACACCACACACCGCTACCATAAACACCACACACCACCACCACAAACACCACCAACCACCAGTGAACGCTCCATCATTATACGATGTACTAGCAAACTCGGGCTGAGTCAATGTTGGTAGTTGAAAAAGCCACATGTCAAGCTCCGATCAACAGTTGGATTTGGATCATCATTGGTAATAATCTGTGTTACGGTGTGTGATACTCTAATCAATGGCGTTGTCATTGGCGAAAGAGAAAACAAAACCCTAGGAGAAAAAACAGGGTTTTGGTAGAGAAGTCAGTGTTGATAATAGCGGCGTGGTGGTGTTCTAGATCTAGGGTTAGGGTAGGCTGATCTACAAATCTGTATATATTGGCGTCTGATCGGCAGCAATGGGAGTGCGGCAGTGACGAAGCCCTTGAGGTTGCCAGTGACGAATGTTTTCTTTCCTCCTTTAAACATCGATGATGACATGGAGGCGAACCGTCGGTGGAACATGGAGAACTTAGAGAAAAGGCTTTAAACAGATAGAGAGAAAGATTGAAGGAGAGAGAGAGAAAGCAAGGTGATTTAGAGACAAAAAGAGAGACGAGTTTGATGGTAAAAGAACATGGGTGGTTTTAAATATATGGAGGTAGTTTAGTTATTGTGTAGAAAGTATGTCCTTATGGATATAATAATTTCAAGCCTGAACCTTTAGACAAAGAAAATCCAAATATGAATTTATAATTCGAGCGCCCTTTTCGAAATCAATTAATTTTTAATGGATATGATTTTGTTCCAAACATGGCCTAGAGCTTTCTTTGGGGTAATTCTATTTCTACACATTATATACTTTTTTTGTGCACACATTTAATGAATCTTTTTTTTTAATTACAATTTTGTCCGAAAATAAAATTTCCAAATAACCTTATCTTCCTTATCCAAAACCCTAATTCCTAAGCCGTAATCCCCACCACTCCCTTGGCGGCGATGACCTCAACTACTCTTTCTGCGGTGTCATTTTCTCCAACTTTGTCTCCAAAGTCATCCTCCTTAACCTCTTCATTGAAAGTCACCATATTCATGGTAGATGAGGCGGTATAGATACAAAGGTCATGGTGCCTAGGGTTAGAAAGAAATAATGGATAGCGAAACTAGACGCTATAGAATAAATGGATTAGAAATGGCGACCAACGACGGTAGAAGGATGAATGGCGGTGGCCATACAAGTATTTGGTAGAGGAGGTGGTGGTTGATCGGCAATGAATGAAGAAGATAAAGATTATGGAGCTAGGATTAGAGGTTGAATGATAAAAAAAGATGAGTGTATTTTTAGTAAGGTAAAATGTGTACTAAACAAATTATAAGATCTCAAATTCATTAATATGCACTAAGATGAGGGGATTTGGTACGTGCAAATAGAATTACCACTTTCTTTGTCCAGCGACCACCAGAATTATGAGGTCCATCGAGTAAAGATATGGGTATGGTATGGCCAAAACTAGCAGTCTAAGGGAAGTGCAGTTTGGAATTTCAGACAAAAACCATGGCCTCTGTTCCACGGTCTTCGTGGTTTTATTATTATACTAATACTCTATCAATAAGACCCACCAACACCAACACCAACACCAACATCAAAGCAAACCCCACCAGAAACTGCACATTCAAGGCCATCAAAGCCTCGTCATCCTCTTCCAATGCTGAATCCTCACCACCCAAACCCAAACCCAATTCTTCATATTCACCAGAAAAGACATCCCAAGCGGAACCTAGCAAGACCCACGACCCAGTGAAGCTCGCATTTGCCAAAGCTACGGCCTACAAGAAATCGAATCCGACTCCCAACGTTATTATTGTTCAAAATCAAAACCCACTTTCACTTTCGGAATCTGATGAAACTGGAATTACAAATAAGCTTGCCTGTAACGAGATGGAGAAAGAAAATGAGAAAAACAATGAAATCATTGCAGGTAGCAGCAGTGGAATTGCTGACAAGAGTGAAGCATTATTTTCAGGTACTTTTCATTAAAGGAAACTTGAGGATTTCACTTCATTGTTATTTGGAATTTTTGTCTGATTCTGGATTGTTTGATTTCTTATACTCAATTCTGTGCAATGATTATGGTGAGAAACTGAAACCCCATTTCTTAGAATGTGCTAAATTAGATACTAAAAATGATGGGTCACCGTCGGAAGTTACTAGTGGTGGCAATCAGGAGGTCCCGGCTTCTGTTAAACTGGGAATGGAGAAAGCAAAAGAGTATCTGAAGAACAAAGGAGTAATGGGAAGTAGTAAAAGTGTGGAGGAAAGTCAAACGAATTCAGGTAGTGTCTGAAAAATGTGAGTTCCTCTTCATCTTTATTTGGGATTGTAGCTGATTTTTTGTTTCCTTTTTTCTTCTTCTTCTTCTTCATAGATTTTTGTAATTTTGCTTAATAAATTAGCATAGGATTATTGCATAATCATCAAGTAGCTTCAAGAGAACATTATTGGTTGGATGAGAATGAAAATTTGAACATCCTATTTTGCCAATGCTATCAATTCCTACTTCTTGAGATTGGTATAGCCAACATTCAGTGCGCATTTAGATGGGCCGTCGTCCATGTGGACATAAATGATCCCTGGGGAAATGCTGAAACTGTATTCCTTTTGATTTGTATTCTTGTCTGAATTTCATTCTTTGAGAAATACCACTTTTTAGTTCCTTATATATTTAATATAATTATGAATTAGACATGATATATGTGCAATCTGATCCTTTGTAGACATTTTGAATAGAACATGGACTAAAATTTTTATGTTCATTGGTCCTAGGATTGAAGGGAGGAAATGCGTTATTTGAGAAGATGGTCGCTAAGAAGGAAGAACGAAAGATTTCAAGCATTGATTTTATGGGGCTTGACTTTGGGGAAAAGAAGAAGAGCAGGGGACTTCCAGCTGGGTTGGTTCCACTGGCAGATTCATTCCCAGAAAGAGATTTGCGTGATGTAGAAATACTTGTTGGGGACACTAGCAACTTTGGAGATGCTACGGTGTCAAAGCCAAGTTCAACCGAGGAAGACAAGTCAGACATATACAAGCCAAAGATTTCGACATGGGGGGTTTTCCCTAGACCTAGCAACATTTCAAAAACAGTAAGATTCACGTCACAATCTATAGTTTCATTAAAAGCTTAGTTATATTTGTGTATCTTGCAGTTGTGGTTGAGGTTGCTAATTTGATTGTTTAATTACTATATGGTTATTTGATGATTTGATTGAGCGATTAATTGTGGCTAATTTACTTGATTAATTTTGGTTAAAATGAAATTGGTGCCAAGTTTGTGACAACCAAGAGAAACTATTATCTGAATCCAATACAGTTGTCAAAGCTAATTTGGGCATTGTTGGTTGTAAATTTAAATATCCAGAAAAAGAAGTCCTCTCTTCTTCCTCCCCTTTCCTTCTTCCCCCTTATGCCGAGGACCAGAGCTTTTAATTTTTTAGGAACACCAGGTGGCCATTAAAGACCAGCATGACAGGAGCAAGACTTTGGCCTCCTCTTCCTTTCAACCTCCATAAGAGCTTTGGAAGCTTATTTAGAATATGAAGGTTCCTCCTAAAATTTGAAACTTTTAGTGGAGTGTATGCATGAATATGCTGGTTTCTAAGGAAAATCTTGATCACTGTAGAAGTTCTGCTTCACAACTTGCCCTACCTGTGTTGATGCAGTAGAGTTTGTGGAACACTTGCTTTTTCATTGCAGATGGGCCAAAGCTGTGTGGTTTGGCAGTGATCTAGGCTACAAGACCGGCGAGGTGTCTATAATGTCTGCTCTCAAGTGGACTCTGGTTATCATGGAGCACTGTTCAAATGCTCTGCTAATCATCTTTCCCGTGTTGGGAAATTAGTGGGGTCAGCTGGTGTATTTGGAAGTCCATGAATGATTGGGTCTTTAATCACATCCAAGTTGATCCTAGTCAGACTATATGATGCAATCACATTGCAATGATGTAGGACAAGTACAGATTATTTTCCTATAAGTAGTGAGCTCGGGTTAAGTATACTGGCAGCAGCAACAATAGACTTATATGGTTGGATTTGTTGGGATTTTGTGGCTGTAAAAGTAATTAAAAATTAGGAGTTTAAGGGTTTGTAAAAGGGTAGGGTTTTGGGAATAAAAACACAAATGTTTAGGGGCTGTTGGGTGGTTGTATTAACCACTATGAACAGTGACGTGTTGGGGAGAGAGAGAGAGGAGGGGGGGGGGTTCTTCACCCTCACAAAGGGATAGGCTAATCACACAAGCACAATCTCAAATTTTCATGATATTAACTCTTCTCTTGAATCATTGAGATTATACATATATTTATAGGTTAATAAGACTAAAACTCAAATTTAGAAACTAAAAATATTTAGCAACTACTAATATTTTAGACCAACTATGACTTCAAATTCTACTTTAATCATAATAGAAAAGTTTAATAATTTCTAATTCTACTTCATTATCATGTTAGAATAGGGAATTATATTAACATATTTTATACTGATTTGATGTAATGGGCTGTAATGAGCTGGCCCATAATTCATGCCTTATGGCACTACTGTAATTATGCTTTATTCTCAATATAAAAGGGGATGAGGTTTCACTCATTCTGTAACTTTTTCTCTTCTCTAAACTTTCATGGTATCAGAGCCTCAATAGAAGAAACATTGCACCAACCAAAGATCACCTTGCGTCCACCGAAGGACTGCCCAGGCCACCTAAACTCTTGTCTGGGACAGTCGGCCCTCACCCCGGGCAGTAGAAGGTCAGTCGACTCCTACTCAGGCCAACCGAAGGTCACTCTTGGACATTCGGCTCTCACCCAAGGCAGTAGAAGGTCAGTCGGTCCCCTAACAGGGCAGCCGAAGCCTTCTCTGTTCTTCTCTAGGTCTGTCGGCAACCCTAGGCTATCATTATAGGTCTGTTGGCAGCCCTGGATGTCCCTTAGATCACTTCCAGTCAACCCTTGTCCAGTTCGACCTCTCTTCCGAGACTAGGATGCAACAAATGGTCTGGGCTCTTGTTTTTTGGTATGTATTCCTGTAAACCTATTCTCCCTGTTAAAAAAAGAAAAAAAGAAAAAAAAAGAAGATATATATGAGTTCTTCATTCTTTATGCTTTCATAGTGGGTAGTTGTGCCTTTTTTTCCATTGTTATTTTCCAAGTTTGTGATTAGCATTGTGTTTGAGAGTTAAATGGTAGAGTATCCATGGCAGATTTCATTAGTGAGTCCATTACTTCTCAGCCACCTAAGAGCAAGAGTTCCATTACACCTCATATTATGACTGATAACCTCAACCTTGGCCTTAAAATCACATCCTCTCTATTCAATGGTCAGAATTATCTAGAATGGTCGTAGAATCTAATTATTTTTTTGAAGAGCAGAGAGAAGATGGCGTATGTTGATGGAAGGATATAGGCACCCAGTACCATGGATTCTAGTTATGACCAGTGGGAGATCACCAACTCTCTAATCATTGGTTGATACATTCTATGGTACTGGAGATTGGAGAGGGCTACTTGTCTATGGACACAGCCTAAGATATTTAAGAGGCTGTAGCTACTACTTACTCCAGGAAGTGGAATTTCTCACAGGCTTTCGAGTTATGTCGCTCCATTGAAAGGTCGGTACAAGGTGAGATGACTATTCTCCAGTATTTTACCTTCCTTAGCAATGGATGGAAGCGACTTGATCACCTTTGGGATTTTAAGCCTGTCTGTCCCATTGATTCTGCTAGTTACTGGAAGTTTGTGGCACAAGAGCGGGTCTTCAAGTTCTTGAAAGGCCTGAATATGGAGTATGATTCTGTTCGGAGCAGAGTACTTGGCATGGACATGCTTCCTTCTCTCCAGGAAGCCTTTGTTTTTGTGTAAAATGAGGAGAGTCGTCGCTTTGTGATGCTTCCTTTTGCCACTATTGATCGCTCTGCCTTGGTTTCTGCATCCCCTCGAAATGGAGAGTATGTGACCCGTGGTTCTCGTTCTTCTTTTGAGAAGAATAATTTGTTCTGTAACTATTGCCGTTGATCTCGACACACACGAGAGACTTGTTGGAAGTTGCATGAGACTCCTTCTGGTGGCCGAGGAGACCGTCTTGGTACTCGAGGGGGTAGTCTGGTCAGTCTAGAGACCGAGGGGCCAATGCTTGGGCACATCTTTCAAACACTGTTGAGCCACCATCTTCATCTCCAGTTGTCTCACCAGCTACTGATGTTTCAGGGTTATTTACCTTGGATTTTGAGATTGCTCTTCGCCACTTGCTAGACCATTGAGCCTCCACTTTTACTACAGGTGCATCTTCTTCTTCCTTTGCAAATTTAGGTAACTTGGCTTCCTCCAAATGTGCATTGCTATCTCATATGACTGTACCATGGATTATTGATTCGGGTGCTTCCGTTTGGTTCCTCTAATTTATTCTCGGCGTATGACCCCTCCTCAAGTCAAGAAAAAGTGCGTATTGCTGATGGTACTATTTCCTGTGTCAGGAAAAGGTTCAATTCATGCCATCTCTTCTTTTCTTTTATCTTTTGTACTCCATGTTCTCACTTTTAGTGTTAATTTTTTATTTTTGAGTCGTATTACTTGTGATTTAAATTGTAGCGTGACGTTTTTTTCCTAATCATTGTCTTTTTTTAATACTAATAGCAGCCTTGTTGTTGCAATACAAAGTCGTGGGATCACTGCAATTAGGCCCTATATCACTCAACAAAGATTGAAGCCACATTAGTTCACATGTTTCATGTGCCATAACGCTTTATTTAGCTTCAGCACTAGATCTGGATACTAGCGCCTGCTTCTTATTACGCCATGTGACTTGATTTCCCCCTACAAAAACACAGTAACTGGAGGTAGAGCGCCTGTCATCTATAGAGCCTGCCCAATCTGCATCTGTGAGCGCTTCCAACCTCAAGTGACCATGATTAGAGAACAAAATTCCTTTTCCAGAGGTAAATTTAAGGTACCTCAAAATGCGATAGACTGCATCCAAATGAGTTGCACGAGGATCATGCGTAAACTGACTCACGATCCTAACTGCATAAGCAATATCTGGACATATATGAGATAGATATATTAGTCTTCCCACAAGTCTTTGGTACCTTTCCTTCTCCATAAGCTCACCAACCCCACTACAAAGACGATGATTGGTCTCAATCGGTGAATTAGCTGGTCTGCAGCCTAACATGCCCGTTTCCTCAAGAAGATCTAGAATGTACTTTCTTTGAGAAATAAAGATGCCTTTATCAGATAAGGCAACTTCAATTCCAAGAAAGTATCTCAATGGACTAAGGTCTTTTATCTCAAATTCCTTGGCTAACTGCATCTTGAGATGGGTCACCTCCTCTTCATCATTACCCATCACAACTATGTCATTCACATATACAATAAGCACTATTACCTTATGTACATTGTGTTTAACAAAGAAAGTGTGATCTGCATTGCTTTGCTGATACCCAAATCCCAGCATTGCCTTTAGGAATCTACCAAACCAGGCTCTAGGAGATTGTTTCAAACCGTACAAAGCCTTCTTCAATCTATAAACCTTTCCAACTATAGACTGAGATGAGAATCTTAGAGGTACATCTATATATACGTCCTCCTCCAAATCCCTATGAAGAAAAGCATTCTTCACATCTAGTTGCTGTAGAGGCCATCGCAAATTAGCAGCACACGAAAGAATAGCTTGAATAGAATTCATCTTTGCTACCAGGGCAAAAGTTTCTTGATATTCTATTCCATATGTCTGGGTAAATCCCTTAGCTACTAGTCTTGCTTTGTACCGTTCAATCGTCCCATCTGCATTGTGCTTAATGGTGAACACCCACTTACATCCGACTAGTTTTTTCCCATTAGGAAGAGACACCAACTCCCATGTGTTATTTTTACTCAAAGCTTGCATCTCTTCTATCATAGCTATCTTCCACTTAGGATCATTGATGACTTCTTTCCAACCTTGCGGAATACACACAGAAGAAAGAGACGAAACAAAAGCACGATATGTAGAAGACAACGAATCATATGACACAAATTTAGAAATGGGGTGTTGAATACATGCTCTAACCCCCTTTCTGAGAGTAATAGGAAGACTTAAATCATCAGCAACAGGACTAT